GCGGGTGCTGATATTAGACAACGTGTGTGAAAGTCCTGCAGAGGACCAGACCCACAGACTGTTGGCTGGGAACCCTGGGAGAGCTGGGGGCCATCGGACCGGGCCTACCCTCACCTTGTCCAGCGCCTTCCGGGCCACCCAGCATTTGGCCACACCCAGCAGCACCTGCACCTGCCCCAGGCGGTTGCCGATCTCGGTCATGATGCTCATGGCGGAGTCGTACCTGGGGAAGGCTGTCTGCACAGCCAGGTGGGGGTGGGGTCAGGCTGGGCCAGGCCTGCACCCCTGCCCCACATCCTGGTGACCTCACCTCCAGGTCCCCGCGGCTCCGGTGGATGTCAGCAAAGCAGAGCAGGCAGAGGGCCTGCAGTGGCCGGTCCCCGTGCTGCAGGGCGATCTTCATCGACTCCTGTGAGGGAGGCCGGTCGCTCAGGGCTGTTGGTCTGCCCCCACCACTGGGGCGCCCAGGGATCACCAACATCCTCAGAGCCCTACACACCGATCATGGTTCTCGGGCCCCACACACCGAGACAGTGGGGCCTTGCAACACCCAGCAAAGTGGAAACTGAGGCTCAGAGAGCAGAAGTGACTCCATCAGGCCACCTGGCTAGGAAGAGGCAAAGCTGGGATTTGAACCCAGGTCGGTGGAACTTCAGAGATGGCTCTCTTCCAACTTAAAGTGTCCCCCAGAGGATGGGGGGTGCACAGGGAAGCCCCCCACCCTGAGAATGGACCGGAAGGAGTGAGGTGGGGGCGGGAGAAACATGCAGCCTCAGGGCTCAGCTATAGAAAGGCTGGAGCAGGAGCAAGACAGGGGGCTTCTGAGGGCTGACCTGGAAGGAGGAGACCCCCCTGCTCTGGGCCCCAGACCCTGGCCCACACCACCCCCTGCCCGCTTCCCTGCTGCCCCACCTCACAACACTCCATGGCACTGCCCAGGTGGCCCAGCAGGCGATACGCCACAGCCATGTGGTACTGGCTCATGGCCCGGTACTTGAGGCTCCAGCCTTTGCCATAGTCATTGACGAGCTCTGCGGCCTTGCAGGGGAAGAACAGAGCTTTCTCGTAGTCCTGCAGGGACACAGGGAGGGGTGGGGTGAAGGGGCACGCTGAGCGTCAGGAGCTGCCCCTAAGTTGAAGGCTGTAGGCCCTGGCTTCTCTGGCCGCCAGGGGCCCAGGCCCTGCGGGGTGTTCATTCATCCTTTCTGGAATCCAGGGAAAGGGTGATCCAGGCAGGGGCAACAGCCAGTGCGAAGGTGTGGGCTCCATGAACACAGGGATTTGCACCTGGTGTGCGGATGTTGGATTATAACCCATTGCTCGGTTCTTGGCATTTGGTAGATGTACAATAAATATTTGTTGAATGGCCCTAACCGGTTTGGCTCAGTGGATAGAGCATCGGACTGTGGGCTGCAGGGTCCCGGGTTCGATTCCGATCAAGGACACATGCCTGGGTTGCAGGCTCAATCCCCAGTGGGGGGCGTGCGGGAGGCAGCCAATCAATCATTCTCTCTCATCATTGGTGTTTCTATGTCTCTCTCCCTCTCCATTCCTCTCTGAAATCAATAAAAATATTTTAAATATATATATTTGTTGAATGAATAAATGAATGAATGAGAAGGCAAGAAAATACAGCTGGCTTCTCTTCTCACCCAGTCCCTGGGGGCCCCTCAGCTTCAGAGACACACAGAAGGGAGGCGGCGGGGCTCTGGCATCCTCCCCACCCCCACCCAGCAGGTTGCCTCCTGGACCCAGAAGCAGCGGCTCCCTGAAGGTCCGTGACTGACTCACTGAGGAATGAAACATCGGGACTGAGGCAATGAAATCATTCTCTCATCCTTCCTTTCTCCTCAAACCTCCAAACCCCTTTCTACCTGCCCAGCATGAGCCGACAACCTCGCTCACTCGGTTTGGAAAACAGAAGAAAACCAGAGAGGAGCCCAGTTCACCAGCTTATCCATCAGCCCCACCGATGGGCCCTCTGCTTCCCTCCTGCTGACGTGCAGGAGGGCTCCCCGCTCCTATCAAACCTGAGCCCCTCCTCGGGCTCGGGAACAAATCCCATCAGCCTTTCTCACCTCATTTAAAAGAAAAAAATAAAAATCCAACAATCTTCTTTTGACTCATGTCTCCTTCAGCTACAGCCCCGTTTCTCTGTTCATCCTCAGGCATCTCTGAGTTAATATGACCAAAAGAACTCTCAATAACCCCAACAGAAACCTGTTCCTAACAGTGTACTTTTAATTTGAAGTCATGTAAATGTTCTAGTTTCAAAAAAATTAAAAAAAAAACAAAACACGACACCCTAAAGACAGCCCTAGCCAGTTTGGCTCTGTGGATCCTGGGTTCGAGTCCAGTCAAGGGCACATACCTTGGTTGCAGGCTCCTCCCCGGCCTGAAACCTGGTCGGGGTGTGTGCAGGAGACAACCAATCAATGTGTTTCTCTCACATTGATATTTCTCTCTGTCTTTCCCTCTCTCTTCCACTTTCTCTAAAAATCAATGGAAAAATATACTACTCGGGTGAGGACAAAAAAACAAAAACCCTAAAAACAGAAAATAAAAATAAAGCACCCTAAATGCATATCATATTATCTATAATAATAAAAGCATAATATGCTAATTAGACTGGACATCCTTCCAGACGTCCTTCCGGACAACCTTCCAGACAAAGCCAGGGTTGAGAGGGAAGCCCGGGTCCCAGGTGCCAAAGGGAAGCTGATGCCGGCAGCTGGGGGAAGGAAGGCCTACTCTGGCACGAATTTCGTGCATTGGGCCTCTAGTTATATTATAATTAATTATGATAACTATAATTATCATCTACACTAATAAAAGAGAAACATGGTAATTGGCGTACGACCGCTACCCTTTTCATTGGCTAATCAGTGAGTATATGCAAATTAACTGTCAGCCAAGATGGCGGCCGGCAGCCAGGCACTGAAGCAAACAGGGAGGCTTGCTTGCTTCAGTGACTGCGGACTCCAACGTTCCCCACCTAACTTGCCAGCCTCTCAGTTGCAACTCTAAGCAACTATATACTATGTTGCAAATAAGAAGGTAAACAAAACCCCAGAAAACAGCCGGACTGAAAGACAGCCAGACCGAAACATTGTATCCATGTTTTCAGCAGCGAGGCCTCAGAGCTAAAGCTGGCCCAGAAAAAAAAAAAAAGAGAGAAGAAAACAAGGAGCAGTTGGAAGCTTTACTCACTTGCCAGCTGGAAAACAGCCCTCAGCCCCTCACCCAGACAGGCCAGGTACCCCAGTGGGGACCCCCACCCTGAAGGGGGTGTGACCAGCTGCAAACAGCCATCA